CAGTACAAAGGAGCCCGCTTGATTGGCATCACATCTACAAGCATTTACTCCATCAACCTCCAGTGGTTACTAGCAAAAGTGTAACAACACCTGCAAGACGCACTGCAGAAATTCACTTCTGGACAGCACCTTATAAGCCCGTGGCCACAAACATTTCAAAGGATGACGGCAGCATGTACATGGGAATACTACCACCTGCAATTACTTCTCCAAGCCACTCACTATCCTGACTTGGAAATATATTGTTGTTTCTTCAGTGTTGTTGAGTCAAAATTCTGGAACTCCCTCGCTACAGGCGTTTTGGGTTTACTTACAGTACATGAACTGCAGCGTTTCAAGAAAGCAACTCACTAGCACTTTCTCAAGGGCAATTAGGGATGGGCAATAACTGCTGACCCAGCGTATGTTGCCCACATCCCCGAATGAATAAACAAAAATGAAATCAGAATACCCTATTTATTATGTCACAGAATCATTCGAGGCTTTAAATGTAAGTTACAGCTAAAGAGAAAGAACAATTGTACTTTGTAAAAAAACTGGGGGAGGAAAAGGACTGTACTGAGAATGGGTGACAGGGCTTAGCAGATTTAAAAAAGGAATTTGTCATCTCGTTCACTTCTGAGAACCTAGAGAAACTAACTTTAAGAGTAGAGAAACTGGCATAAGGGCAAATTGATTACATGGAGGGACCCCCACAGTTTCGATGAACCAAAAGAGAATAATTTGTACCTGTCCCCCACTAAGCTCAGGGACACATTCAGCCTTCAAAGTGGAAAGAAAAATGGGTCAAGGCACCTGAAGGAAGTGAAGATCTGGACAACAGTGGTTATGGGCCTTAGAAAAGGGGCCACATATCAACGAGTTCAGAATACTGACTGACTATAAAAAGCTGCAGCTGAATGTGTAACACTGTTTTGAAACAATTTCTATATTCTGTTCTGGAGAGACACAGACCGACAGACTGGGCAAATAGCTCTTCCAGTTTCCATGTGTGGAGGTCAGTGTCTATATGTTGTTTAACCCCTCGTGGTCTGTTTTGTATCTGTTTTTTAAGCAGTTTGCTATTTAGTATGTCATAATTAGTTTCTTTCTATTTTCCTTCCCTTAGGAGCATGTGCTATTTTGTTCTGTACGTGAAACAATTGGATTTATTTTTCGTGTGTGAAATGTTTGCATGTTTGAATTTGGGCCTTTATAATTTGGATTGTAGGATATTAATGAACAGTTAGTCCTACTTGCAAAACCAGGTTTAGTACTCTGCTAGCAAGGACCTTAGGTTGCACATGTGGATATGGAAGGGAATGGTTGATAGGGACATTGGATGCAGATCAAGGAGAATGGGGCAAATAAGGACTAATCAGTGGCAACCAGCATCTGCTACATTCTTACTTTACAGGATCATGGAAACTGCAGAAGTGCTGATTTGTCTGTCAACCACAGGTGCAGAAGGAACCAAATCCATTGACGAAGGGACCCAGTAAAGCCTGTTGTGGAGGAACACCAGTGATGCCTCTTGCAATCAGGAGTATGGAGTTTTAAATGTCACGGTTAACGCTTCCAGCACTTGGGAATAGGGAACAGTAGTGCCTAAAGTCGTAAAGCGTAGTAATAAAGGTTCCCTTTATACTTGAAGCAGTCATGCATAAATCTCATTCAGTCTCACCTAGTATAAGTTAAACTTTACAATCCTTATATTATAACTGTATTCAGTTACGTGTTTGGATTGAGTACTATTCTGGTTATTTGTTGTCAGCTGATTTGAAAGGTAACTGCAGTCTCATACTTATTCCATTAAGTGGTCATAAACACATTGGCTAGCTACATAACTGAAGAGTGTCACCAATCACCAATTCAACTGTAACCTTTAATTAAAGAAAAAAGGATTTGAATTGCTAGAATAACTATGTAGAGCTAATCAGTATTTATTAATAAATTAAAGCTGTTTGCTATAATGAATCTGTTAACTTCTAAATGATATTGAACAAAGCAATGTTCAAATGGAATTTTACCTTTGATTCAAATTTAACAACAGGATGGCATGACACTTAAGAACACAGGATCATGGGAAATAATAATTGGCCAAAGGACTTCCTTGTGCCTAAATGCATGACCCACAGAGTGATTCCCTCCTGTTTGGAACTTGCTGGCTGGGTGTAGACAATACTGATGTTTGTCCACATCCTGCAGGGATAGAGATGACTGTAATATATGGTTCTCCAATTACAAGCTGGTTTCCTTCCACAGCTCCTGCTGATAGGCTAGCTAATGATCCTATCAATAGCAAATGTAAGGGTGAAGCAGCCTGTAATTGGAGGGCCAGCTCCGGTTAAAATTTCTCAGACTACAGGAATGACATTTTTCTGATTGGTTATCAGCATAATTAATTTGTTTCCAGGCAAATTAGCCATTCTAGCAGGGTGATTTCACCGCCACTGTTCATACCTCAAGAGCTGAGATCAACCATTTCATGCTGCAAAAAAAGCAAATCCCTTCACTCGGAGGGTTGTGAATCTTTTGCATTCCCTACCCTATGTGTAGGTTCAGTCACTTAATGTCTTCAAGGCTGAGATGGGTAGACTTTTGGACCATAGGAGGATTGATAATTATTTTTGTTGTTCAAGTTCAGTTAGGACCTTACTGAGCAGTGGTGCATGCTCAAAGGCTCGTATCACCGTTTCCTGTTCCAATCTCTATGTGTTTATGATCACATGGTCTGGACAATTTTGAACTTCATAACCATGGGCACAGAAGCTATGTTTACAGCCTACAGTGAGATTAGTGTACTCAGCACAGGGAAGGAGTGAAATGTGGGATATTCTTAGTCCAGCTGGATCAGGATATTTACAAACTATAAATTACCAGGGGAGATACTTCCTTTCTCTAATATTCATGGGACCCAGAAAATAAGGGAACAAATAAACAAATGAGCTCAATGAAACTGACATATTATGCTGGAACTGTAACTTTATATTTCACAGTTCATATGGCCAAATTCTGTATCTTTTAAGGATCTGAGGGACTCCTGTTTATCATATATGTCATGTCAGTATTATACCCAGACATCTCATACCTAATCTCTATCTGAAACTTGTATAAATTGTAATTGAGGAAACAATGGGAGGGCCATTTTTAGCAAACTGTGGATGGAGCTATTAAACACATAATAAAGAAAGGTTGACCGAAGACGTTTTCAATGAATATCGGTTTTTCAAGCAAAAACGAAGTTTGCATTCTATTCTTTTAAAAGATATCACTTAAAAGGAACAATTGAATGAATACCAAGAAATCTAGATGTTTTAGAAATAATAATAAATGTTAATGGTGTTAAATATTTGCCATGAAATTCAGATGTCTGATTTGATGGAAATCACAAAAAATGTGACAGTGGGCTTTAGTTTTGTTGCATACATTTCAATTGCCTGTCGGATGATGTTTCCATTTCTGTCTGTTCTACAGACGTGTCTCATAGTGCTGCATTAGTGATAGTGACACTAGCAATAACTTCAACAAAACAATTAACTAAATCTAAGTGTACATGAACATACAAAGAGAGTTTAAACAAATCTTGCAAAGATAAAGAAACATTTTTTATTCAATCATTTATTGAGGGCATTGCTAATAATGATAATGTAATTTTTGTTAAGTAAAGAAAGGACATTCTCAGTGCTGCCTGCCTAATGTGATGCAATCCATTTCTTGTACAGCCAATTGTACCAGTTAATCCAGCATTCTCTGTGAGATGGAGCAAACTGAACATATTCAGTTCCAAATGTTGCTTAGGTCGCAACATTCAAGTCTACCCAACAAATAGAGGGGAACTGATTGCAAGGGTTTTAATAAGTCTCTCAAAACAGTCTGGAGATCACTGAAGGGCAGTTCAAATGATACAATAAGTATGTGGAGAAGAAGATGTGGAGGTGCCGGTGTTGGACTGGAGTGGACAAGGTCAGAAATCACGCAACACCAGGTTGTAGTCCAACAGGTTTATATGAAAACACAAGCTTTCGGAGCCTCAGTCCTTCTTCAGGTGTTAGTGAGAGAGTTAGGATCAGACACAGAATTTATAAGGGAAGGATCAAAGGACCACACCACAGATGAGGATGTATTAAACAAACCTAAGATGCTGTTAAATCTTTAATCAGTTAGAAGGTTTTAATTGATTAATATGTATACGCATATCCCCAAATTTCTTTCAAGTCACTGCTCTGAGAGAACTAAAGGTTTTATCAGTGTAAAGAAGGGGTGACATTTTAGATCAGACAATGCATGTTAAGTGTGAGGCCTTGTTTAGATTCGGTTTGTGTTTTGGTTTGGAGTCAGACTGGTTTTATTTCTAAAATAGGAATTTATAAAACGCCACCTTGACTGACTGTCTATAAATTGTGTGCTTTTTGAACAAAATAGAATTTCTCTGCAAAATACATATTCAGCCCATAGATGTGCATTTGTGTGTGTGTGAGTGACAGAGTGGGGGGAGAGAGAGAAAGAGAGAGTGTGTGTGTTGGGGGGGAGGCTGTGGGGGGAAGAGAGAGAGACTGTGTGTGCGCGAGGTGGGAGAGAGAGAGAGAAAGTGTTTGTTTGTGTGTGTGTGTGTGAGATTAATCAATTAAAACCTTCTAACCAATTAAAGATTTAACAGCATTTTAGGTTTGTTTAGTATATCCTCATCTGTGGTGTGACCCTTTGATCTTTTACTTACAAATTCTGTGTCTGATACCGCCTCTCTCACTAACACCTGAAGAAGGAGTGAGGGTCCGAAAGCTTGTGTTTTCAAATAAACCTGTTGGACTATTACCTGGTGTCATGTGATTTCTGACCTTTGTGGGGAAGCAAACAGGAGACTCTATGTCAGAATTATGATTTTTAGCTGTCCTGTATGGAAGGCAACTACATGAGTTGTGTGTAGGTGACTCAGCAAGTACAAGTTAACAACACTTGGATATCTCTGTGTGATTAGAACTCAGGTCAATGTGCAACAAACTGATAAGCATTTTCAAATAGCTGCTTCACACTCAATGGACCAATGGCTTTTTTCTGTGCAATAGGGTTGTATCATAGCTTAACAAAGAAGCTTCCTAAACAAATTCATCAAAATCAGAATCAAGGAACCGTTCTGGGAGCTAAGGAACACTTGGCTCAACACATCTTGAAGAAAACTGCTGTGTATTTGAAGATTTATTTTTATTTAAGTGCATAGTGCCACCTAGTGCAGTGGATATTGGTCCAGTTGAAGCCTACAAATGAGGAATGGACATATCATTGATACAGCAACGCGGTAAGAGTTGTGACTTTAACACGATTACAAAAGGAATACAAATAACAAGTGCAGATCTTGAAGGAACTTCTGTGTTTCCTGCCCTCTTATATTCTGTTGTTTTTGTGAGTTTCTCATATATTACAAATAATTTACAGAGAGTAAAGAAGACACTGTACTTTCAATTCAAAAGTTTTTGTTTTAAATTGCAATTGACTCAAAGCTAAGATATTATACTTTCTTTGTTAATAAAAGTCAAAGCCTATTAAAGATAAATTATTTGATTTGCCATTGTCCTGCCTATTGTAAAAAATGCAATAGTTTTAATAGGTATCCTTTATGTGCTTTTTAACTGAAATCATCTATCAATGTTTCCATTTGAAGGCTTGATATTCTTTTTCGTTGGACTGAAGACTTTAGTGACCTGTAGTTAAAAATATAGTGTCATAAATCAAAATCTACATATCTGATTTACTCACCATTTTTGGTGTCATTCACATTTTCACAGCCAAAACAATTCTACCAAAAATAGTTTTTGATCGCTTTCAGAAAAAATGCTGTTGAGAGCGTGCCAAAATCGTCAAACATTTTAGGGCATTTAAATGATGTTCTGAGAAATTAATTTATCTACAGTATATTTCAAACTTAATTGATCAACTTCAAACAGCCAATTAATATTTAAAATAATTCTGCTAATCAATAATTAATATCGAATTAGTTCAAGACTTGAAGCAGTAAATTGCAATGGACCACATTAAGACTTTTCCCTTAAAATCTTTTATTCATTTGGTATACATTGCTCACCTTCTTTTCATTTGTGGTGATAACAAGTGATGCTCCTTCCTGCCAGTGCTTGATCAAAATATTTCAGTTATAAAGTGAAGGATAAAATGGAACATAAACGTGGTCATTAGTATGGCACAAATCTACAGTTCCATGTAACTGTTTCTATACAGGGTGTTGTTTTGCTTGGGATTACAGAAGATCAGTAATTTGGTACAACATCTGGGTAAAAATTGTATAAAAAACAGAAATATAATAATCAGAAAGTAGACTAAACAGTGAGGATACATTGGGACAACACAGACTACTCCTTATGGATAAACCGTGGATAGATCCTTATTCTGCATCTACTGACCCACTATTATTTCGTGCAATTAGTTGAAAAATTTGTTGTTTCCCATTGATGATATCGTTGAGTTCAGTGTCTGCTTCTGGAACCAAAAGTGTGGAAAGGAGTCAAAAATTAATATTTTTTGTTATTATACAATGCTTGTACCTGAATCCTTCCATTCAAGCAACTCTGGCAATGGGACCAGACTTTTTCCACAAATTGGGAAATAATTTTGTGATTATACTGAAGATGATGATTTCCTCAGACTCTCCATGTAAAGTGGCCTATATTTGGCCCCATTTGATTCATACTCTGATCAGAAATGGTCTTAATCCAGTCTAAGTTGGCACAGGGCTAGTTATAAGCATTGGAAAGCCTTAATTTAACCATTGATTTTGGAAACAGATTGTGGAAACATGTGAGACATCATTTGAACATAAAAATCCTCCTGTTGTGTTCTTTTGGAGGAGATCATTAAACTGACAATATTTTACATTCACATCCATTCTAGGGAAAAAGCAGATATAAATCATTAAATTAATTAGAAAACTTGGGTGAAGGTGTGGGGTGCTACCAGGATTGAAAAGTATAGATTAGAGAATGAGACAATATTAGGAAGGAAACATCAAACTTGAGTTTGGAGTTTTGTAGCAGAAAGTAAAACAGGAAAAATCGATGCAATGGAATATATACACAATGAAACACAACATTGACTGAAAATGTGTATTTGCTGCAGAGTATGATTGCCCACATAGTTCCACCAATATCTTAGAAACATTCATCAGAAGAAGGTCATTTGACTATTGTGCATATGCCAGTGATATCAACAAGTTGTCCTGTGACTTCCACTGTCTTGCTCATTTCACATTGCCCTATAGAGTTTCTGTTTTCAGATGGGTATCCAATTTCCTTTTTAAGGTTATTATTGAATCTGCATCTACCATCCATTCACACAGAGCATCTCAGATGATAACAATTTATTTTGTAAAAAAACTTGCCATCTCCCCCTTCCTTGTCAAAGTTATTTTGATAATTATTTTAATAATTGTCGTAAATCTGAGTCATGTGTTTACTGATCCTCTTGCCAGCTGAAAGACTTTCTCCTTTAACTACTGTATCAAAACCCTTCAGAATGATTAACATCTCAATCAAAAGTCCCCTAAATCTTCTCCGCTCTAAGAATGTTATAGTATTAGAAGACTCTATTTCCAATAATAAATTCTATTAATTTTGTCCTGCGACAAATATACCATATGCCTGAATCCAGCAGTCTGTTCATTATAAATATTTTAACAATGAATCAATGGCCCAAATCTTTGAGTCTTGAGATTGTTGGAGATGGACATATAACTGAGATGCATGTTAAGACAATGTGTAATTCCTGACCCATTCACCTGTGAGGGAATTTCCAGGAATGTTTGAACATCCAATTCCAATGTCCCAGCTCTGCAAGATCCTCGCTGATGTTTCCAAGCTGGAGTTGGAGACTTTGGACACTTCTGATATACTTTCTTGAATACTTACCGAGGAAATGTTAGATAGATTAAAAACTAGTCTAATACCTAGCAAACTACATCACTTAGCCAGGCCACAGTTTCTTATGGAGGAAGTTCTGAGGAAAGGTCACCGCACCCGAAATGTTAACTCTGTTTTTTTCCTTCACAGATGCTACCAGACCTGCTGAGCTTCTCCAGCTTACCTCTTACTGGCTTCCTGACATCCAATTATTACTGGATTCCCCGGACTGCCCCTATGGCTCCCCAACTATTCCCCAGACTATCTCACTAAACCTCAGACCTGAGAGCCACCTCAGACACCTGTCATTTCAACCATTTGCCACCTCATCCCTCTGTCACCGTACATACTTACCACCTCACCCACCCATCACCTTATCAAGCTATCACTGCACCTACCTGTCACTTATCCATCAACGTTGACAATCACTTGCTAATGAGTATGACTGTCCACGTAGGAAAATCTGTGGAAGTTGTGTTGAATTCCTCTAGGTAGACACCTTGTACAGCACTCCTTTTAACGTGGGAATACTTTTGCACATCAGCAGACACACTGTCCTTGACAGAAGGTCAATCCAGTTCCAGTGGTAAGGAAACCTCAATGATTGGGCATCTTAATGTTGCTGCAGGCTTCATCCACTATTGCACCCATTGATATCACACACAATGATCTTCCACCTGGATCACCATTGAGGACACGTTTTGGATTGTCCTTCATCTAGTTCCTCCCCTCCAACATTACTGCCATGGATGGCCCTACCAGGAGTTGAGAACTCCTGACAGCAATGCTCTTGGGATCAACAAAACTCTCAAATCTTTCCATTTCAGCAAGGTTGCACTTATCCACCTACTATCTCAACCGTTTGGCACCCCACTCACCTAATACTTTATCCACCTTCCATGACACCCACCTGCCACCTCACACATCTACTGCTCTTCCCAAAAATACCGCAATCATCCTCCGCCACATCTACCCTGAGTACCTACTGATACACTTACCTCACTCACCTACCCATTTACTTCACCTAACCTACCCATTCACTCATTCATCCACTCACCCGTTCACTCATATACTCATGTTCAAACTGGACCTTTAACCATACTGCATGACACCTAGTACCTTTAAAATAGGGCATGTCCGGCCCCACATGCTATCACACTTTGATGCAGCTCTCCGAGTGATACTGCGCCCCATTATTTGGTGAAGCCAGGCTCAGAAGATCCCAGAAGCATATGGAAGAGTGTTGAGTCAGGGGAGTATTCAAGCAGAGCAGCGATCCAACAATGATTGACACCTGTCAGAAGATCCAGGGTATTGTGTTTTTGATGCAAAAGATTAACAGTTAACCGCCTCTGAGCAAATATTGCCTGATGAGATCTAAGCTCTATTGCATAGCAATCAAACCCACGTTGAATATGTTGGAACAATTTAACAAACTCACAACACCCTCCCCCATATCTCCAACCTTGTGTGCAGCCATCACAGTTTCTAGTGCATATTTATTCTTTACATTAGCTGCTAACATATGCTCCGTTTGTCCTGACCCTTTTGCCTCTCTGTTAGCATTGTGTCATTTCTTGCAGGCTGAATCAGTTCAGAAGATTAATGTAAAGCACAGTTCCATTTTGGCCCCACCTTTTGATAAAGAGAGGAATACATCTTTTTTTAAAAAATCTATGTTTCTTTTTCGTACAAAGTTTATTGCTCTTATTTGCTTATAAAATGTAAAGTGAACCCTATATAATATAAATGGATTTGAAAGAACAGCAATTCGCTGCACATAGCATAAAGAAGGTACGTCTCACTGCTTGCTTTTTAAAGACAAATGCAAACTGTGAAAATCTTGTCCCAACTGTGTAGAACAGTGTTTTCTTTTCACAGACTGTAATTGTCTATGATCAATGTAGTGCCAATTATGAGCAGCACATAGAAACTGCAAATAATCATTCTTAGCAGGATTAGGAACCGTTGAAGAGAAAAATGAACAATTGGAACTGCGCATTTAACCTGGAACAATTGGTGATCAGAACCAAGGAACAACCACTCTGATAAAATTTACTTTTAATCTGCAAGATTTTATCAGACAGCCTGAGAAAATGCTTTAGTCAGAGAATGGTGCAGTGTAGCTCCATGGTACTGCCTTATGGAATGGTAGGTCACAGATTTGACCCTGCATTCTGTGGAGTTGTCAATGTCAAGTCGGAGTGCCGAGCACACCAAGACATATGTCCACTGTGTCATTGTGCCACCCTTCATGTCATGTGGGTCACATCATTGGCATTACCCATCTATATTAGCATTAAAAGTTTTCCAGCAGCAGCTACTCGGGACTGATCTGTGAAGTATCATGTTCTGATATGAAGCCACAACCTTTTGTTACATTTGCCGTACTTCTCATTTCATGAACACTTGACTTTTATAATAAAGGTAGGTTGAATAAGCCACAGGGTGTAACAACAAAGCTGTTGGCTTCTTCATTGGCTCTACTAAAGTTTATTGTTCCTTGAGCATAAACCAGAAAGATGCCAGATTCAATCCCAAATCTGTGCTGAGTTTGTTCATTACAGTTAACAGTAAAGGAAGCAATTGTGTCATTTGAACACTCTGCCCTCCCCATTTGTTATGTTCTTTTTGACCTTTTCTCTGGTTCTGCATTGTTTAAAATCAGTTACTTTAATGGTAATGTGCAGAGAACAAGATTAGTGAAGACATCACAGTCTTACATTTAGAAAATAGGGAACAAAGAGATGGCATAACACTTAAATACATATTCTGATTCTGTCTTCACGAAGAAGGACACAAATAACAGTCCAAAAATGTTGGGGAATGCAGAGTCTTGTGAGAGGGACAACTGAAGTAAGGGTGGCATGGTGGCTAAGTGATTAGCACTGCTGCTGCACAGTGCCAGAGACCTGGGTTTGATTCCACCCTCAGGTGACCGTCTGTGTAGATTTTGCATGTTCTCCCCATGTCTGCGAGGGTTTCCTCTCACTGTCCAAAAATGTGCAGGTTAGGTGGATTGGCCATGCTAAATTGTCCATAGTGAGCAGGGATGTGAAGGCTAGGTGGATTAGTCACGGGAAATGCAGGATTACAAGGATAAAATAGGGGATAAGTCTGCGTGGGACGCTCTTCAGAGATCAGTGCAGACAAAGCAGGCTAAATGGCCTGCTTTCACATTGTAAGGATTCTATGAAATAGTGGATGCATTTCTGGTCATCTTTCTCGATTCTACTGACTCTGGGCGAGTTCCTATGGATTGGAGATTAGCTGATGTTAACCCACTATTTAAAAAAGGAAGTAGCGAGAAAACAGAATTATAGATCTGACATCGGAAGTGAGGAAAATGGCAGAGTCTATTATAAAAGATTTAATAGCGGAGAACTTGGAAAACAATGACAGGATTGGACATTGTTAGTATGGATTTACAAAGGAAAATAACACATGGCAAATCTACTGGAAATCTTTGAGGATGTAAGCAGTGGAATAGATAAAGGGGAGCCAGTGGATGTGGTTTACTTGGATTTTCAGAAAGCTTTCGATTACATCGCACAAAGAGGTAAACATGTAAAATTCAAATGCTTGGGATTTGGGGGTAGTGTACTAACATGGGCACAGAACTGGCTGACAGTCAGGAAACAAAGCGTAGAAATAAATTAGTGTTTTTCCAAGCAGTAGGCAATGACGAGTGGGATACTGCAGAGATCAGTGCTTGGATTCTAGTTATTTACAATCTATATTTTGAGAGTCAGGGGGCAGAGCTGAGTATGGTGCTAGAAAAAACTGAAATGGACTGAAGGTGGATAAATCACCAGGACCAGATGAACTACATCCCAGAGTCCTTAAGGAGATAGCTGAAGAGACAGTGGAGGTGTTAATGGTGTTCTTTCAGGAATCGCTAGATTCCGGAAGGGTCCTAGAGAACTGGAAAATCGCTAATGTGACACCCCTGTTTAAAAAGGGATTAAGACAAAAGACTGAAAATTACAGGCAAATTAGCCTAATCTCTGTTGTAGGTAAGTTTTTAGAGTCCATTGTGAAGGATGAGATTTCTCAATATTTGGAAGTGCATGGTAAAATAGGGCAAAGTCAGCATGGTTTCATCAAGGGGAGGTGATGCCTGACAAATCTGTTAGAATTCTTTGAGGAAATAATGAACAGGTTAGACCAAGGAAAGCCAATGGATGTTATCTACCTGGACTTCAAGAAGCCTTTGACAAGATGCCGCACAGGAGGCTGCTGAGTAAGATAAGGGCCCATGGTGTTAGAGACAAGGTGCTAGCATGGAAAGAAGATTGGCTGCCTGGCAGAAAGCAGAGAGTGGGGATAAAAGGGTCTTTCTCAGGATGGCAGCTAGTGACAAGTGGTGTTCCGCAAGGGTCAGTTTTGGGACCACAACTTTTCACTTTATACATTAATGATCTAGATGAAGGAACTGAGGGCAATCTGGCTAAATTTGCAGACAGTACAAAGATGGGTGGAGGGACAGGTAGTATTGAGGAGGCAGGGAGGCTGCAGAAGGATTTGGACAGGTTAGGAGAGTGGGCAAAGAAGTGGCAGATGGAGTACAATGTAGGAAAGTGTAAGGTCATGCACTTTGGTAAGAAGAATAGAAGCATGGACTATTTTCTAAATGGGGAGAAAATTCAGAATTCTGAAGTGCAAAGAGACTTTGGAGTTCTAGTCCAGGATTCTCTAAAGGTAAACTCACAGGTTGAGTCAGTAGTTAGGAAGGCAAATGCAACTTTGGCATTTATTTTGAGAGGACTTGAATATAAAAGCAGGGATGTACTTCTGAGGCTCGATAAGGCTCTGGTCAGGCCACATTTGGACTATTGTGTGCAGTTCTGGGCTCCATATCCAGGAAAGATGTACTGGTCCTGGAGCGGGTTCAGAGGAAGTTCACGAGAATGGTCCCAGGAATGAAAAGCTTAACATATGAGGAACGTTTGAGGACTCTGGGTCTATGCTCGATAGAGTTTAGAAGGATGGGGGGGGGGATCTAATTGAAACTTACAGAATACCAAAAGGCCTGGACAAAGTGGATGTTGGGAAGATGTTCCCATTGGTAGGAGAGGCTAGGACCCAAAAGCACAGCTTTAGAGTAAAGGAAAGACCTTTTACAACAGAGACAAGGAGAAACTTCTTCAGCCAGAGAGTAGTGATATGGAATTCACTGCCACAGAAAGCTGTAGAGGCCAAGTCATTGAGTTTATTTAAGACAGAGATAAATAGGTTCTTGATTGTCAAGGGGATCAATGGTTATGGGGAAAAAGTTGGAGAATAAGGTTGAGAAACACATCCGTCATGATTGAATGGCAGAGCAGATCCGATGGGCTGTATGGCCTAATTTCTACTCTTATGTCTTATGGTCTTATTAATGATTTAGATGAGGGAACTAAATGTAATATCTCCAGGTTTACAGATGACACAAACCTGGGTGAGAGAGTGAACAGCGTGGAGGATATAGTGATGCTTTATTATGATTTGAACACATTGACTAAGTGCACACATGTATGGCAGATGAGATACAATGTAAATAATTGTAAGGGTGTCTACTTTGGTAGCAAAATCAGCGAGATGGATTATTATCTGAATAGTGATAGACTGTGAAATGCACCCTGGATGTCCTTGTACACCAGTCACTGAAAGTAAGCAAGCAAGTGCCTCATAAGACCATAAGACATAGAAGCAGAAATTAGACCATTTGGCCCATCAAGTCTGCTCCGCTATTCAATCATGGCTGATAAGTTCCTCAACCCCATTCTCCTGCTTTCTCCCCATAACCCCTGATCCCCTTGATAAGAATGATGAAGTAAGCAAATGGTGTTTTGGCCTTCACAATGAGAGAATTCAAGTACAGGAATAGGGATAATTTGCTGCAATTGTACAGGACCTTAGAGACAACACCTGTAGTATTATGCACGGTTTTCATCTCTTTATCTGAGGAAGGATATTCTGGCAAGGAGAGAGTGCAAGAAAGGTCTACCAGACTGACTCTTGGGATCGCAGGACAAGCATATGAAGAGAGATTGGATCAGTAAGGACTATATTCACTGGAGTTTAGAAGAATGAGTGGGGGATTGCATAGAAACCTGTAAAATTCCAACAGAAGTAAACGCAGGAAGGCTGTTTCCAATGACCAAGGAGTCCAGAAACAGGTTTCACAGTTTTAGGATATGGGTTAGGCCACTTAGGACTGAGATGAAGAGAAATTTCTTCCCCCAGAAAATCCTGTGGAATTCTCTACCACAAGAAGAGGTTGAGGCCAAAGCATTGAATGTTTTCAAGAAGGAGTTATGTATAAATCTTAGGGCTAAAGGAATCAAAGGGTATGGGGAGAGCACGGGCCCAGGATACTGAACTGAATGATCAAATAATATTGAATGGCAAAGGAGGTATGGAGAGGCCAACGGTCCACTTCTGCTCATTTTATCTACATTTCCATGTTTTTTTCCGGTCCTCTGTAATGTCACCAACCTGAAATATTATTTTTCTCTCTCCACGGGTGCTGGAAAAACCTGTTCAAACTTTTCTGTTTCTATTTCAGAGTTCCAGCATCCATAATTTCTTGTTTGTATTTACTAGTAACACCAGCAACATTATCCTTGTCACCCTTGGATTATGGATGAGAAGGCCAAGTCCGGACTATTACAATGCAACAACTGTTCCTTCAAGCACCTGTGTGCAGTGTGG